AGCTTAAGAAATTAAAAAATGTAAAACAGAAAATACGCTGGAACCATTGTTTTTGTTTACATCCCTCAAAATGTCTATAAGTAGACTTCTTAATTAGTTAAATGTCTGCTAAAAGAGCAGTATCAACAGATATTAAGCAGACAGTCTACTAATACTCAAACGGACTATCAAAATAAAGTGTTGCCTACTTTTCTTTAAAGGGCTTTAAAAACTAAAAGTCTGTTTTTAAGCTCAGCTCAGTGTTCTCACCACATATGGTCTATAAATACATGGAGAACTTTTAAAAAGTTATTGTGGAACCATATTGTTAAATAGAGTTTCGTTAAAAATTTTATTGAAATGTTTTGTTGGTGATTGTATATACTGTAGGTGTTGGGCTGATCAGATAGCTTTACATGGACATTGGAAGACCCGTTTAAAATGACTTAAGACCTATAAGTCAATACTTCAGCGAATTTAAGACTTTTTTCAAGGCCTAAAATTTTGTTTTTGAAATTTAAGACGTTTTAAGACCTTTTAAAACTCCACGAATACCCTGCACAACACAGACTGCCAATACTCTCTCAACAGGTTTTTGTTAATATTACAAAAGGTTTTATGCTTTACACTAATAAAATGTGTAAAGAAGTCAAAATGACACTAGGAATTCTTCTGTTAAGCATAAACATTTTCAATACTTTGGTCTTTTAATGTCTTTAGCTCCTTTTTTATTTATTTTCCTTCTGCCTTATTTATCAGGGGTCGCCACAGCGGATTGAACTGCCTAGATCCTTTTTGCGTTCATGTTTAATTTTTTATATTACTGTACACAGAATGGCCAATAGCAGTTCCCCATATTAAGCCAAGGACAAACAATACAAATCTTTACACATTTTCTTTTTGTCATCTGTTTACATGGTGTATATATAGCAGACAGGTAGAGAAGCTGTGGCCAAAAAAAGCCATGTCTTTAAAAAGAAGTGTACTAATCTCTGTGGAGTACACCTACAAATAGATACCACTGTACACTGTTGTGCCAAAAGAATTTAGCCCGGTTAGCCATGCATTCTAAAAAAAGGTGCATCACATAGTAACAGTTCTATATGAAACTATGTTGTCCAGAAGAACCTTTTTATGTTGAAATGTTTTTGTGCGAGTGTATGTGTGTGTGTGTGTGTGTGTGTGTGTGTGTGTGTGTGTGTGCGCTATAGTTTATGCCTCCTTACTTTCCACCTTTCTTTTTTTTTTTTTGTAATAACTTCATTACTTTTTGTTTACATTTCTAAACTAATGTTTATTTTAATAAAAGTATTAGATTTGTAAGTGCCACTATTTTTTTTATAATTTTAAATAATTATTTAAAGATTTTTATTAGTTTCTTATACTAGTTTAATTTCTTAAAAGTGTAGATTAAGTTTAAGCTTTTTTTGTTTTTGCATTTAAAAAAATATCTCTCATACTAGTGTGTGTGCTTTTTTATGTTTAAATTGAAACTTAAAAAGGTTTGTATAATTCAAACTTGAAATTATTAACAATTCAATGTGTATTTCTGATGTTGTAATATGCTATAAGCTCATCATCTGCAGAGACAAAATGGCACAGTTACGACAAAGTATACCCATATTAATGACATTAAAGCATCATACATGATTGTTAAGAGATGTCAATGATGCTTAGTCAGTTGTGTTTTCAAAAACCCCATTCACACAGAGATACCGGTAAATAGCCGGAAAATTTCCAGAACGACTTTACCGGTAAATTTTAAAAAAGCGCTGTTCACACAGACGAGGATGTTCTGGAATTCTTCCAGAATAGACCACACACATCTATTCCAAAATACAGGTAAATTCTGACATCATTTACAAAAAAATGAGCTCTAAACGGCTGTGCTTGTATTTGTAAACATTTCACTCCATTACAAACTCTGTCGATGGATTAACATTGTGAACAACTTCAATGAAAACATTTTGAGGAACACTTTCGCATGTCGAGATGTACATTCTACGTGTGTGTGCTGTTGCTCACCGGCTACTTCACGTGCATGTGTCAAGCAACTGAAGCAGAGCTGGAAGGTAAACAAACAGCAGTTCATCATAAGCATTTTATTGAAAACATTTTTGCAGTGGGCATTAAGAAGGAACACAGAAACGTTATCTGACTAACATCTATCAGCTGAATGTGTCTGGAAAAATATTCAAAGACTTTTATTTTATAAACAGCATGGATGCATGCGACTAAATGTTCTGATTGGCTGGAGCACATGACTCACGCGTTCTAATCGTGAATGCGCTCTTTCCAGCAATTTTCCTTCTGCGTTCACACAGCATAGCATTCCAGTAATGACCAGTAATGTTACAACTTCTCTTTCCAGAAAATTGCCGGAACAAATTTACTGGTATTATCAAAAAGGGCCCGTTCACACATACAGACCTTTCTGGAAAATTGACGGTAATTTTCCAGAAAGGTCTGTATGTGTGAAAGGGGCTAATGTCAAGTCATAAATTAAAGTATCCTTCTAATAACAGTCATTTTTGCTACAATACAAACTATTATTTTATGTATTTTTTATTTGAAATTTTGCTAAAATACAAAATATTATATTTTATTTTAAACTTCAACTATAAGCTTACAAAATATGAGCTCAATACCTTAAAACATTGTATTTTTGGAGCATAGAAATCATTTAGCTTGTTTAGGAATAATATAATATAATATAATATAATATAATATAATATAATATAATATAATATAATATAATATAATATAATATAATATAATATAATATAATATAATTAATATAACATAATAAATTAGTATAAATAATATAATTAATATAATTTAATATGAATATGCAATATTAAGACTTATTTTGATTCAATTTACTTATAAATCTACTGTTATTGTGAGCATTACTACCGTTTTGCTTGAAAAAATAATTCAGTAATCACTTTTTTTTTGTTAACAGTCTAGGTCTGTGTTTAAAAGATAACAGTAAAATAACTTTGTTTGCCATCTATTCTTATCTGCAATGAAAAGAGTACTTCTTGTCCCCAGTTGTCTTTCTGAGCCGTTCTTGGGACCAGTTCCCAGGCCTATCTGGCTAACATATGCTGAATTAGCAGTATCAGGATTGGTTGGCCACAGGTAATGTCACACTACAGCACTGAGATCAGTTGGCTCAGACGCAACAGTCACCTCAATGAACTTTGCTCTGGTGGGGTAATCCAGTATCATATGCATCCATACTGCCATTAGTATATTTGATAAGTTCCATTACATTGTGCATATTTAGGTCCGGTTTTAACCTATATTGGGAATGCTGCCCTCTTTTGAATGCTAATATGTTATCACAATGTTCACCTTTAATACCTCTCTTGCACAATATTCAGCACAATCTCATGTAAAAGTACTTGTATAGCCTGGCTTATGTGTATAGTTAAGCATCTTATAGTTAATGTTCGTTAAGCATAGGTTTTTAAATAATAGTTTCTATGTCCAGTGTTGTGTTTGTATTTCTGATTAATTTATGTAGCACCATGGTAATGCAAGACATGACATTTCGTTCTTCTGTATGTCCACATTTAACAGAATGGCAATAAAGCTCGACGTAACTTGACTTATTTATGCTCTTCCTAAAGATGAGATGCCAAATTGGCCTTTTTATGACCCTATTTATACGGTTCTATAAAAACATGATTTGAATGTGCTGTATTGGACCTTATTATAAACTTTTACTAATAGTTTAGTGTATTATTTTATATATCATTATCTGTTATTTAATATATAAAATTAGCGTAAAACAAACTGATTAGTACAATTTTTTTAATAAATCTTTAACCAAGAGTTCGATTTGTCTATATTTTACCCAAATTTGTGTTGAAACAACCCAGCATATTTACAATGTTCTTTATACAGTTACTGAGCAATTTCACAATACACTCTCAGAAATAAAGATACAAGAGCTGGGGCAGTATCTTTATGTTTTAAGTTACCAAATGGTAACTAAAGCACATATTAGCACCTAAAAAGTACAGCAGTGTATCTTTTCAAGTTTTAACATAATAATATGCACCTTATTGGTTACAATATGAACCCTTGTAGGTACCTTTTAATAAAATTACCATCCCAATGACAAGATTTCCATTTTTATTTTTGAGAGTGTCAATTTAAACGATGAGGGAAACTAGGAGACTGTACACATGAATAAATAAAAATGGAACAATTGAGAACATGTAATCATAGATATATTATGGTATATTCTAGATTTTGTTTGGTAAAGTCTTTTTTTTTAGTACACAAATATGCTATTATTAAAAAGGCCCTCTTTAACCTTATGAAACTGATCACACCACATAAATCTTCAACAATGTGCCAAGTACCTTCTTACATAACAGACTCTTATAATAAAAAAGCAGCTTTGTAATCACATCTATCTCATCAAAACAACACAAAGCCAGTAGATGGCCATTGTCAACTCTGAAACATGTGGCACAATCATTCCACTACAACATAGTATCTTGCATACCAAAGCACGTTCTTCTTTGCTATCACATCTATCAAGAGATGAAAAGGACCAATTTTTGGACTGAAAATATAAAAATATTTATTATGAGTTGCATATTACTTGAGAAAACTACTCTATACTGTAAATCTATTTTTCACTTTGTGAAATTGCCAGCAACCTAATAACATTACATAATGCAGTGCATAACACAATTACACAAATAATGCTAGCAGACTGATTCTTTTAGCTTTGCTTCCAGATGTGATTGGATTGCTTAAACAAAGTCTCACCGTATTCAACTGAGTTGCATAAAGCTTTAATTGTTTTTATGGCAAGCATGGGAGGGTTCAACCGAGAAGCCAGATTACAGTGAGGATTTCTACAAACGGATTAACCGTAGATTTAAGAACCCTATTTAGTCACAAGAAGTGAAAATAATCAATAAGCCTGTCTGTGGAGTTGGTATAAAAGGGCTCTTGGTCAGTTTAGACAACACAGCCTTGTGGAGAACCACAAAGAAGGATCCTACACTACTAAAACCATTCTTTCATTCATTCAGGACATCATCAAAACAAGCAGGTAAGATCTAGACAATTGTGAGGTTAACTATTGAAAAACACTGTTGGAAATATATATTATTTTAGTGTTATAACTGTTGGAAATAGCCAATAAGATGACATTCTTTTCATCTCCGGCTGCTCAGAATGGGATTTTACAAGTTTGCCCTGCTGGTGGTTTTCCTGTCATACATTGAGCGCTGCTTTTCTGCATCCTGCGCTGTAGAGAGTTTTACAGTCAAGGACGACTTTGACCCCAAGAGGGTATGTTGTATGCTGTTTGATTGTCTCAATGGGGACAAACGTTTGCTCATTGTTAATGCAGTGCATACAGCCTGACCTGACCTGGTGTATTTTACTTTGTAGTATGCAGGCAAATGGTACGCTCAGCAGAAGAAAGACCCAGAGGGACTCTTCCTCCAGGACAACATCTCTGCCGAATACACAATCGATGATGATGGAACCATGACTGCCTCGTCCAAGGGCCGAGTAACTCTTTTCGGGTAGGCTGTGAATCTAAAAAATTTTAATACAATAAGATCATGGTAAATCTGCTGCTTACAACATGACCTTAACAAATTAACCATGGTTTTATTGCAGTAAAAGTGTTGTAACATTGATTAACAATGGTATAACCACAGTTCAATATAAATACAATGGTTATACAATATGGTGCAGCAAAAACATTTGTTTATACCATGGAAAAACCACAATACAAACTTTTTCGGTTTTATTTGTAGCAAAACCATGGTTAATTTTAAGGGCTGAAACTTGATTTAAAACAGAAGTTTTAATATATGTTTGTGACTGTATTACATGCTAATGTGACTAAGTTTCAATTGTTGATTTATTCAGAGAGCAACTTACTATAAATAAGTTTCAATGATGATGATGAGGTAACATGCTAATGCTAATCGTGTTGTTTATGACATCTGGAATGACTGGGAAAGCAACCTAAAAACATATGAGAACAATAAAGTGAAGAAACGATGGTACAAAACATATACCATAGTTCAACAATGTTTAATATAGTAAAACTGGTTATACAAATGATAATTATTCACTGGTTACCACACTTTTACTATAAAACCATGGTAATTTGGTTGAATCAGAAAACAAGCTTAAATGCATGATATTAAATGCTAATTCTGCTGCTTAAGACACCTGGCTTGATTTAGCAAGGAAGTTTAAATATACCACAGCAATGACTTCACAAGCTAATGCTAATGCCTGTTTACACCAAATATGAAAGCTATAATGATAATGATGACGATGCAATTCTAAAAACATTAAAAATGAAAGATAATGGCCGTCCACACCATAACTACATCTAAATGACTGCATCACTCTCAGAACTTCACACTTGTGATGTGAAGATTTAAAGTAACAGATGGCAAAACTGCAGCAAACTGCAAAAAAAGCATCATCATCTGCTAGTACTGACACATACAATTGTTGCTATTGCTATTTTCAATATGAACAGGCTATAATACCAAAATTAAATGCAATATATTAATGGTGACATCCCATGCTAATGTTCATCCTGCTAACTCTTCATAGATTCTGGGTTGTGTGTGCTGACATGGCTGCCCAGTACAGTGTGCCTGACCCTACCACTCCTGCCAAGATGTTCATGAACTACCAAGGCCTGGCAAGCTACCTGTCTAGCGGAGGTCAGAAGACAATCATTTTACCATATCTGTATCCATTACCGACATTCTATAATGCAAATCGATTAACAGTCTGTATTGTTTTTTTTTTATAAAGGTGACAACTACTGGGTCATCGACACCGACTATGACAACTATGCCATTACCTATGCTTGCCGCACTCTGAAGGATGATGGCTCATGTGATGACGGATATTCCCTGGTCTTTTCACGTAACCCCCGTGGCCTGCCTCCAGCAATCCAGCGTCTTGTGCGCCAGAAACAAGATGAGATCTGCATGGCTGGTCAGTTCCAGCCTGTGCTGCAGTCTGGTAAGTCAAAGACAGAACTTACTCAGTGCTCAGTGTTACTGGAAAACAGCATAAGTAGTCATGTTAGTGGCAGAGAGTCAGAATATTATTTTATTTTTTTGCTTCTTTCTTTTCACAGGTGCTTGCTAAACTGTTTGAGGAAACAAAGAGGGATTCCTTTAGCGTGCTGGCATAAGAAGCGGATTCTGGGGCCATTCCATTTCAGCGCTGTAGAGGTGCATGTGTGCATCAGGGAGCCTAAGATCTTTGAAGTTATCTCAAGGGAATGTTGTATTCTGTAAAGTGTCTATGACAATAAATATTTTTTAAACAAAGCCTATTTTGCATTGCTTTCATGGATTTTGGTGTGGCGGATGATTGTGTTTGCTTTAAATGTCCTCGATATCTTTAGCCACAGGTGATTATGAGAGGTCACTGGTTTAAGGCATGGTCACACTGCACTTTTTGCCTCACTGATTTTCAATCATAAACATGCGATTTTAAAAACAAGCTAGTTTGACAAGTTTTGCATTTTGCTGTGTTCCAAAGTTTAAGCTTGGTGAACTCTGACCTGCAAATTTGCATTGTGTGAATGCATGAGACCAATAGAAGACCAAAACCTGACCTCTCTGTACAGAAATTTTAAATCTAGAGGAATTGCTCATTTTATCAGTGTTGATATATCTTGTTTTATCACACCCCTTTTAATAGCACCATCTGACTGAATTTCACATTCTCAAACTGTGTAGTGTGACCATGGCTTTAGTCTGATTTGAAGTTAACCTAAAAGTAAATGGGCTGTTTTAAAAGCAAAAGTAAAAGAGCAGTTATTGTATTGTATGTGACATGAAACTCTGATCATAATTAAAGAACATTTTTTAAGACACCTCCCATTAATTTGGTGTTTAACTAGAACCTGGTGGTAGTTTATTGATGTACCCGACTTCATAAGACTTTCCAAGATGGTGAGCTTTTCTAAAGTGACTGAAACCTCTAGCAGCAGGTTGTCCAGATGAGAGCCAAAGAGTAACATCATGTTCACCATCAAACTTCAGCCTTTATTGAACTTAATCTTTGTAAAGCAGCAAGTAAAAGGTGGAAAAGGAAGTGTTTTCTGCCGTAGGAGTTGGACCATTTGTACAGCTACACTCTTTTTTTTTAAAGCTCCTTCAGCAACATATAGTTCCTCTGCATTCACCGCAGGTCCTCAAAGCTAAAAACACAGAAATAATGAAATCGCCAGCCAGTAGTCCAGATCTAAACCTGATTAAAAATCTCTAGAAAATCTTTGGCGAGAAAGTTATAGCTAAGTGATGTGTTGGAGATGTGCCGAAGTCATTCAATGCTCCTCTAAACTTCCTATTCATTTCTGACTGCTATACCCTTCAAAAGTTAATTGTAATCTTTCTTTGTGCTACAGTCCTTGCTGTTCTATAGTTTGTGGCCTTTAAAGGGTTTTCGTTGAACCCTTGGCTATTTTGTAAAACAGCTCTTCTACGTATAGCCTTGACTAAAATTCCTCAAAACTTTAAATATGGAGAACAAATGATCAACTCTAATTCTGATCAATAGTATGCATGCTTAATTACTACTAAGGGGTCCAAAGTGTACCAAGAAGATATCCCTTACTCCATTACACCTAACCAGGCTAAACCACTGATACAAGACAGGATGGATCCAAGCTTTAAAGGGCACCTATGGTGAAAAATCTGCTTTTCAAGCTGTTTGGACAGACATGTGTGTATATATAATGTATAGACCGTCGTATTGGGGTGAAATAAACATACCCAGTCCTTTATTTTCAATTTAACAACATAAAAAACGGTGGACCGATTGGAGCAGTTTTCAGATCGACCGCAAGGTGACGTAGGAGTGCGGTCCCCCCGCCCACTAAATTGATTGACAGCTTCGCGTAGCATGTCCCAGTAGTCACATGTATAATCATGTCAACAAGACCAGACGTGCGCAAAGCAACCGGGAATCAAAGGTCTGTTCAGTTCGCTAGGATCATCAATCATCATCAAAAGTGATCAAGAGTGCGTGTGTATCTGTGTGTGTGTGCATGCTTGAACTTTGTAATGATATTGCGTGTCACTCATCAATGCAACTACACAACAAATACTCATTGGTAAAATTCTTACTGTAGTATTTCTCACAAACGTTAAACCTTCTTCCATTAAGTCTGTCTGTTGTCTGACACAGCCGAGAGGGGAGATTTAAGGCACGCTGACAGGCACGTAGAAACAGTAGGCTGGGAGGACTCGCATTAAAGGTACGCAGTACGACAAAACGACCCCCTGGTGGAAAGATGTATAAAAAAGGATCTAGTAAAAGGTATAATGAAAAATCTGATGGGTGTTTTGAGCTGAAACTTTACATACATATTCTAGAGACGCAAAAGACTTATATTAAATTTGAAAAAAGGGGTAACCTAGGTGCCCTTTAATGTACTCCATACCAAATTCACACCCTACTATCCAAATTTTGCATCATTGATTGAGATTCCTCATATTAGGCAAGCTTTTTTTTTATTTTTCATCATGTAATTTTGAGGAGCCCACGTACCCTCAGTACTGCCGTAGCTCACTGCTTTAACACTGCATGCTATTGGGTGTTCATATGCGCTTGTTTAGACTTTGGCTTTAAAGAGTTGTTATGTACAGTAGGTTAGATTATGTGCAAACCACTCTGTTCTTTCTCCTCTGACCGGCTGAATCACTGGTCTCTGGATGTCTTTTCTGTTTTGGCTGATGGTCTTGAACCACATCTACATGGCTACATTTTAATGTATGCCATGTGATTAGCTAATTAGATATTTACATCAACAAGCAGTTCAACGGGTACACCTATAAAGTGGCTGGTGATTATAAATGAAGAGGTAAAAATAATTCTGCCTAGGAAATACAGATTACAAGAAGGCGTCTGCAGAGGGTTCATGAGAGTTCCTGCGATGTAATTAAGTTAAAATTGGACAGGCATCAAGTTGCCAAAGAAAGAAGATCAACTTATCCACTTAGTTACTAGGCTTAAGTGACGATAACTCCAGTAAACTGACATTAGCTCTTGGTTCCGTGTCAATATCATACAAATAAATATTGATTCATTTTAAGGGAACTTAGTGACACATTAAAATTACTTGCACTTAAAAAATGACTTTTGCTGCTTGTTCAAACTACTTATTCAAAATGAGTTGAAACAACGCAATTCAAAAGTTCAGCATGTCTTAGTTTTCACAAGATTTTATGTAAGCCTGTTTTAAAGCATAAAAAAAAATATGCAAAAATAATTAATTTAAATAAACCTGATTTTCTCCAATTTAATAACAGAGTTCCCAAGTCCTAAAATATATATTTTTAATTGGCATACATGTATATATATACACATGTATATACAAACAGGTTGCCTGAAGAGAGCTCCGTATGGCCCTATCTGCTTCCTTTTTATGTTGGGTCATCCGAGGTCTTGCCAATTTATCTATAATAGGTTAATACCTTCTGAAAACTGTTCTTGTTATGAGTGCAGATAAGTATTCTCATGCCAGCTGGTGTCTTGGAAACAGAACAGATTGTCTGTACTGAGCCGAGTCTCAGTTGCAGAAAGTCAGGGTTAATAACATTAGGGGCTTTCAAACCCTGCCAATGAACTGTAGGTAAATAAGATGTAGAAAAGACCAGACTCCATACCGGAAGTCTGGCAAAATTTGTGGAACAGCTACTAATACTACATAATGTGTCTAATATAGATGTTTACATAGAAAAACTGTTTGTTAATCTGTATTGTTATAACTATTGCAAAATTACTAATGCATTTAAAATCCTAAATTAATAAACATTGGTCTGTTCATCACACAGCCCTCAAGACTACATTTAATTTGATAACACTCTTTGAAGGATTTAGTAATAGTAGTTATGTGTAGTGTTGCGAATTGAAGTGAAGACACGTACACATCGTTAAAGCCCATCTTGTGCTAGAAGCAATGGGTAACCACAACTACTGCAATGAACATTAACAGAGGAAGAATGTCAGCAAATATAAATGAACGTACTGACCTGTTTTTAAATTATAATTAACTTGGGCTCGTGCTTTGTTTGCTGTGGATAAACAATCTTTTAAATGGGGATAATGAATCTTGTATAGCAATAAAAAGTAACAGAGAACAAAAAGATAAGTGAGTAATACTTTGCTGTAAGCATGATATAAATGCGATCTAGTATGCTGCTTCAACATGCTGACTACACTAGCTATATTTGATGGACAAAAAAGCTCCATTGTATATTGCTGATATAGTAAAGATGCATGAAACACCCCTCACACAGAGGTCACTTTCAAATCAAGCCACCCTCTCAGTCAGCATGATGAACTAAATCTGTGTGTGAATTCTGGGAAACCAATTTGCCTTCACAAAAATTCTCCAAAATATGCAGACACATATCTAGCTGGATTTTACCAAAGAATGGAAAACTGAAGACGTTCCCATGAATAAATGACTGTAATGAGTAACTTGGTCAATGTATTCTAAGCTTATTTACAAATTTTCTGGGTAGATCCAATGAATACAGTTTTAAAAGTGTGTCTAAGATTAACTTTAGTCAAAGATTTTCATGACTCCAGTTGGGATCATGTAGAACAGGGCTTCCTGCTCAGGGATTTATGGAGTTTTTTTTGTTTTTTTTTTACAAATGTCTTTAAATGAGTATAATGGAGGTCTGTCCCAATTACAGACTGATATCAAAAATATTTTTTTATATTTCTAATCTTTTAACTAACATTGTTTAGCATTGTTTTTTTTTCCTGTTTATTCACATGAAGTTTGGCAAACTGCTTCTTTTTGGTTGGAATTTTTTTCATATGACTTTTTATATAATATTTTTTTCTTATACCTAGTGGAACAATTGATTTTGTACTGCACTAAAATGATCTGATTTCTAATATTCAGGAATTAAAATTTGTGTCAATTAATGTTTTAAAGCTAGTTTTCTTGAGCACTCTGCCCATCTGTTACCGGTCAGAAAACAAATAGCCCCTCTATCTTATCCCATATCTCCTATTGGTTGAGCAGTTATCTGGAAATCTGGGTTGCTTAAACAAACAAACAAACAAACAAACAATCAATCAATCAATCAATCAATCAATCAATCAATCAATCAATCAATCAACCAATCAATCAAACAAAGAAAAAGCAAGCATGTTAAAATAGAAAAAAACACAGACACAGTGTTGGGCTTTTAGCAGAAAACTTTACAGAAAATATGTATTAACTACAAAAAAGATCTGTATATTTAAATTATGCAAGATAATAAAGGAGTAGTTTTCCCAAAACTTTAAACTAAATCTGCTGTAAATTTACTTACCTTCAGCTTCAAAAACATGCAGGTCATCCCTCCTCCTCCCTCTGTACAACCAGTGTTGAGTGCAACTGGTTACAAAGTAACTGGCTACTGTAATTCAATTCAAGAGTTCACACTTAGATACTGTTTGACAACTTGTTAGCAAGTTAGCAGGTTTGGCATGCTGTCCCGGGAGAGAACCCTGAGCTCGGAGATAGTTGAGCCCAGGGCTCCCGCCAGGTCCATAAAGCATGTGAGGGGAGTACGAGGTCAGGTGTTCTCGAGAGCTCCCCTCAGCAAAAGAGGAAAGGAGGAGAAGGGGTGGATGGGGGGTTTCTTCGGGAAACGAAGATAAGGGAGTAGATCTTAGCTAGGTTATTTATAGTGAGTTTGGATCAATCCGATTGGCTAGCCAATGAGTGTAGATGAGTGGCCAGCTGCAGTCAATCATATCACATGCTCCTCTCGAAGTTAGTTTGTGAAACTTCATTTAGTTTTCAGCAGTAATAGGATGACTTTTCATTTTAGGTTATTTAATTACACTTACTTATAATGTACTTGCCTTAAGTACTATATATTAATTCAACAGTTCTGGATAAATCAATTCAGAGAAGCAGAGAAATTGTATTATATGTTAAACAATTTTATTTTGCTAAATAATTGTATTTCTCATTTGAAGAAGGTTACATTTATAAAACCATTGAGTATAACATTTGTCAATATGGTGTATATGAAATGTGGTAATATTAATTTGAAATGTTGTGATGCATATATTGTTTAACATTTAATAAGTGTTATTTTTAAAGCAAAACTAATATTTAAGCAATATTTAAGCAAAACTAAAAGTTCCTTTATTAAAGGAACTAAAAGAGTTTAGTTTTGTCACGATCACCAGCAATCAAGCCTATGCTGACCGCTAAAAAACTACAAACCTGCCACTTTAAAGAACTACATATTCAGTCATGCACCGCTCACACACACTTTCCTTATTCGATTGATTACAAACACACACACAGCTGGGAGCTGTTCATGAACTGATTAGATGGACTTTATAAACAGCACACACACACTCTTCAGTGCTGAGTCTTGTTTAACTGTTTTGTGAACTGTTTTCCTTGCCTTGTCATGTACAAATCTTTGCTTTGTTTGTTTATTGTTTACGCTGTTTGCCACCGGAACTGACCATTTACTTGTTATTTGACCATGACTCTGGATTCCCTGTATACATCTGTTGCTTGCCTGACCATCTCTGTGTAATAAACCTGCATTCAGATCCACACTTCCTAGTCAGTGTCCCCCTCACTGAACAATTTTCTATTACCTATGGATTGAGATTTATCTGGATTTTAATGAGTATTTGATTCGAATGATTAAATTTCTTATTGAGTAATTAAGTTACTTTTAAGCACAAAGTAAACATTTTGAAATACAATTTTAATAACGTAATTAGCAAGTAATTCTTTTATTGAAATACCTTTCCTAACACTAAGTAAACTTTTTATCTGGGTTAAGTTCAAAGCAAAAAAACACATACAAGCAAAGCAAAATTAATACCCGCGGCTCACAATGATACACTGTGGTCCAGCAAAATAATTGGTAATGCAATATATCATTATTAACAACATTATTACCTTTAATCCACAGTCTGGAGTGAAACTTCCAGTCACATAATGAGGTATTAAAACCAGCTGATACTCTGGACCATATGCAGTGGCTGTGGATTAAAGAGAAAATGTTTTAACAAAAAAAATAGCACACATCCTATTTAACTATACTGAGCACTTTAGATGCACATTAGAACTCTGACATTCATATGACAAGTCTATAGACAATCTGACTTGTATTAAATGTAAAAATCTTAAATATAAAATCAAATCTAGCACTACAGTATATATATAACAAAGCAAATGTCTTCTCAGTTTTTCTCAGGGCACGATACTCAGATGCTTTCAGCCGTGTGTGTATATGTTCAGTAATACTAAGCAGTGACTGTGGGTGGCACTGTTTCTATGGTGATAAACCCAGAGCCCCCCCTCCTCTCTCTTCCTCTTTCTCCGTCTGTCTATGATTGGTTGCTGAACGCTAAGCACAGGACGCAACATCTTTACCCACAATCCTCAGCTCCATTCAGTCAAGCTAAAGTGCACCGGGAAATTCAGCAGTGAAGGCATGGCAAATGATTTGACCATTTTACTCATCCATGACTATGATAAGGGTGAGTCCCTATTTCTGTAGCAAAATATTCTTTGTATGGTGGCGGGCTTCCCCTATATATAACCTTTATTTAAATATGGATGCACAAGAATATATCAGGAAATAAATATAAAGCAACATGCCTTTTGGCACATTTATGAAACTGAATATAACTTATGACATAATTTCAGGATTTTTAGACATTTAGAAATGATTATATAATCCTGAACATGTAAACACTTGATTCCTAGACATTATTTAAACTTGCATAGCTCTATACTATTATTTGGATATATCTTACATAAGACTCATATTTAAAGGTGTGTCTGTCAATCATTCATAACGTGTGATTCAAAACTGAATCATTTCATATAAAGTGAACTGAGATCTCACTCTAGGCTTCATCACGTCTGTTAATTAAAAAGAAAGAACTCTATTGTTCTTAACCACAGTATCTTTATTGTACCAGATGACAAACGCTGGCAGTTTGCAGGATAAACTGCCTGAACCGTCCTTTTGTTTTTATTTAAACAATAGTAAGGCATCTGAGAACGACCAAAATACATTATAAATCATACTAGATCCTAACCTAAAACCAGAAATGACTTATTAATAGTACATACAGTTGAAGTCAGAATTATTAGCCCCCCTGACTTATTAGCGCCCCTGTTTATTTTTTTCCCAAATTTATGTTTAATGGAGGGTATATTGTTTCAGCACATTTCTAAGCATAATAGTTTTAAAAACTTATTTCTAATAACTGATTTATTTTTTCTTTGTCATGATGACAGTAATAATATTTTACTTGATATTTTTCAAGACACTTCTGTATCGTTTAAAGTGACATTTAAAGGCTTAACTAGGTTAATAAGGTGAACTAGGAAGGTTAGGGTAATTAGGCAAGTTATTCTATAACGATGGTTTGTTGTGTAGACTATCGAAAAAAAAAAATTTGCTTAAAGGGGCTAATAATTTTGTCCCAAAATTGTTTTTTAAAAAAAATGTAAAAATGTTTTTATTCTAGCCGAAATAAAACAAATAAGACTTTCTCCAGAAAAAAATATATTATCAGACATACTGTGAACAATTCCTTGCTCTGTTAAACATCATTTGTAAAATATTAAAAAAAAGAAAAAAAAATCAAAAGGGGGCAAATAATTCTGACTTCAACTGTATATTAGGGACACGCAGCATGGTGTAGTAAAAACAAACATTACAGGAAACAGTCACACAACTACATTGAAAAAAAAAAACAGATTCATTGTATTTACAAAATAGTTTTAAGATAAGTGGTAGCAAACAATTTATATGGGTTAAATTTAAATAAGCAAATTAAGTTAAACATTACTAAATTTAATTAGTTTGTTCACATAAATAGTTTGAAACCACTTAAAAAAGATTAAGTAAACCCACTGAATATTTGTTTTTAGTGTAATGGTTTAAAAATCAAAACAGACAGAATCCAAAACATCAAATATTTACACACAACAGAACAGAACAGGTAATATTTACTAAAGGTTTTGATTAAATTCAAATGCCAACTGCTTTAGTGTAATAAAACTGAATAAAATCTCCATTGTCTTCTTTTAGTGATAATATCCCCCCATGTCATGTGAGATGTTCATCATGCGGGAGCCTAATTTAAAAGCATAACAGTTATAGTAAAAGGCTGGAAGCTGCACAAATTTCAATTTTAAAAGGCTGGAAGCCTCACAAATTTCACACTTTTTTCTCACAGTATAATAGCATATATCCTGTGAGTAGTATGAACTACAGCCATTGTATATCTCTGCACTGCCTCAAACAAACTACTTCTAACTAGTAAAAACTAGTTCTCTGAATCAGTCTATAATTCATTAATCTAGTTAAGATGAAACCTTGATTCCTAAGATTCCTTTTTACATGGAATGTAGGATCTTTGAAATGTTTTTGCTCAGTTTAATAAGAACTAGTAAAACAATGACGTCTTGCATCTTGTTGCCAGGGTGTGTTGTTATTGCTCTGATTAATAATTAAAGTTTAATACACAATAAGGACAATAAGGAACATTTGAAGCATTGTCTAGTTTGATTACTTTATTTTGAGTCTAAGGAGTCAGTGATTTACTGGTTCTTATTAAACTGAGCTGAAACATTTCAAAGATCCTACAGTACATTCCATGTAAAAGGGAATCTTAGGAATCACAGTTTCATCTTAACTAGATTAATGAATTGTAGACTGATTCAGAGATCTAGATTTTGAAGTAGCCCTTTCCCTTTTTGTTTTTAAAAGATGTCTAGATGTCTAACAGACGTCTAAACATAGTCGTCTTGGCTAAAATAAGGCTAAATTTAGGCTGTCAGTAAAAATCTAATGGACATGTAAGAATAGGCCAAAACTAGACTAGTCATCAAATAAACAAAAATGAATAACTACACATATAAAGTCTGTCTAATCTGTCTATATACGTAAAATGACAGCAATTAATTGATAGAAATGTACTGTAAAATAACGGACATTAAATGACAAAAAAAATCCTCAAATTTAAATTTCTGGTGAATTTCTGTAATTTAACGTTCGCTATTTTACTGTAAATTTCAGTAATTTAACCCTGCAGCTGCCAGAAAAAAACGTAAAATAACGGATTTTTCTTACATTGTAGTCTAGTTTTGGGCTATTCTTAGATGTCTATTAGATTTTCACTAACAGCCCAAGTTTAGGCTGGTTTTAGCCAAGCTTTCTTTGCTTAGATGTTTAGTAGACATCTATTAAACACAAAATTGTTTGCTGGGTTGTTTGTTTAAGGCAGCCCAATCCATCTCTCTCTATCTCATATACGTATTGTTTACATGTATATCACTGCTTGTGAAAAGCGCAATACAAGTAAATCTGAATTAAACTGAAATGTGTTGCTCTTCTCATCCAGTACATAACTGATTTAATAAATGCAGATGAAACTTTGATTATTTTGTTATTATCATTTTGTAAAACAATCTAATGTGTGGAATGTTTTTGCTTTATTGAACAGGAACCATTTGACAGCTGTTTGACTCCTTTGGTCTTATTGCCATGGCTTGCAGAGCATTACAAGCAATTGTATGTGCAGCCATGAGGGACACAACCCTTCTGGCTTGGTTTCGACAGCCTATTAAAACATCTGATATTGGAAAGGGGGACTGACTCAAGGTTATTGCATACTGAAGCATGGACTTGCACCATGTCCTTTCATTTATCCGATGGGAGGCGTGGTATAGAGAGGTTAGTGCATAAACTCAAGGAGTTTTGTTCATTTTTGACTTGTTTTCTGTCCCTTTGAAAGACCATACTGAGGTGTTTGTTGTATTTAATAGTCACATACTTAGACTGGAGCTGGAGAGCAAAACAAAAATAGTTTGCCGACATTAATGAAAGATCAAATATATATGAATTTTATGGGACGCCGTCATGGAAAACGGTCTCATATCTAAATGTCCCTTTTTACGACACTCCAATAAAAGGCAATTAGGAGATAAACCGCATACATGCAAAGTTTACTTTGATTACAGATTAATGCCTTTCCTTTTCTAGAAAAACAGGGACATCCTAAGCTAGACTTAATGCGACACTGAATCAAAGACTAATGTTTGGTGAGATTTTTTTTTGCAAATTGATTAGTGATTGGACATTTTAACTAATAATTTAACTTGATTAAGTAAAAAAAAATTCTGCTTAAAGTGCTTGTGCAACCTCTATACTTTCAATATGCATAGAAAGGTTGCTGCTTTAATCAATGATTATTAAAGGATTTTAACATCATTGCCACAATTAAATAGCAGTACTAGCATAATAAAATGAGTTTACGGATTGAGATTTAGGTGAGATGTAAGATCAAGCTTAGTTGTGAGGCTGTGAAAAGTAAAGTATCAGAAATCAATTGTAATGATTGGCAGATGATAATGCTGTTACTTAAACATTTAAACTCAACAATGACTGGTATATAACCCTTGATAATTGTGTTAACTCGTGAGACTAATTATTGACTTGTTGCTGGAAAATGAAAACACATTTTAAAGCAGTGATTAATCAGTTACCCAATTTCACAAACACAGTTTGATCTTTAAAAATCTGGAACTGATCAAAGGTCTTTGTCTCTTATTCAGGAGTTGTCTTAAAAGCCTCATCAGCACATGGGTGCTTCATCATTGGAAGCCATGGAGGAAGACCTCAACTGTGTGGCTGTGGGTCTGCTAAAGCGCAGAGTACGACAGAAAAGAGGAGTTCGTGAGATTATAAAAACCAAGATACAGCGAAACCTTTCCTGCACGGGACCTAAAATAAAGAGCACTCTAACTGGATTTTTCCCTGTGGTTAAATGGCTTCCGAAGTACAAAGTAAAGGAGTATATTTGGGGAGATGTGATGTCTGGGCTCATAATTGGCATCATATTGATCCCTCAAGCCATTGCATACTGCCTTCTGGCCGGCTTGGAACCTATCTATGGCTTGTACACATCGTTTTTTTCCAACATCATATACTTTTTTATGGGAACATCAAGACATGTTTCTGTGGGGATCTTCAGCCTTATGAGTCTAATGGTTGGACAAGTTGTGGACCGTGAGGTCTTCCTTGCAGGCTTTGATTTAAACGAAGACAGTACAAAAAATGCATTCGGGTTTAATGACACTGGGGAAACCAACATCACTGCTGTCAACTTGAAGATCATGTCGCTGAATATGGAATGTGGAAAGGAATGCTATGCCATTAGCATCGCTACAGCTTTAACATTTCTTGCTGGAGTCTATCAGGTACGTACAGAATTGTAAATCATATAGGTTTAAGGTCCTGTGTACACTTGGCTTAGAGATGTGTTTTGGGTTGATCAGGCCACAAGTCAGGATTTTCACGATACTGGAATTCGGTACCAATCGATACTGAAGTTTTAAAAACATCCATTTCCTGTTAACATTTGAGTGCTGTTGAGCACGTTCTTTAACAGTTGCCATTTGTGTTCAAGATGAATCGTGGCTTTAAAACACTCCAGTGTCCCTGTATCTGTAGTCACACTCAGTAAACAGCTGTGAGTTCAATAAAATGTTAAGCTTCACGGACAATTACAGTAATTTATGTTGAGCATGTGAACACAACCGCAAATCAGTAATGTTTAAGATAGCGCTCTAATGTTAGCGGAAAATAGACCTTTTTCAAATTTCAGTATCGATTGGTTCCGAATTCCAGTATTGTGCAACCCTACCACAACTAGACAAGGGAGATACATTCACGCTTACACTTGGTTATTTAATCTCTTTTGCCCACTTTCATAAACTTTTCTAATCTTTTGATCTAATATTGTGAAATAAAGTACTAAAATTTATAAGTTTGTTTACATCATTTAAAGTAGTTTTTTTTTTTGGGGGGGGGGGGGGGGTGACTATGCTTTTTGCTGCTTAAATTGTTTGTGATGAATTGGTGATGAACATGTGATTTCGTGGCCCTGACTCATACCATGAGAATGGCAAAGTTGAAAAATTTTAGCTTCACTTTTTTTAGTAGAAGGAAGTGGAGACATGTCATCCATCTTTTTTATACTAGAATTCGATCGCAATCAACTAAATGAAGGTCTACATTACAAAAGCATCCAGGCGATTGTATTTTGCAGAAGTGGTCTAAGTGGACCAGCTCAAAATATCTTAACCCGTTTATTTATATTATATAAAAATATTATAACCTGTTTATTTTTGTCTAGCTATCATAGACTGGCATGGTCCACTTCAGATTTGATCAATATAAACACATTAATACCAAGTATAAACAGGACCTTAGACTTTCAACTACTATACTACTACTAACCACTTACAAAAATGTAATTTAACGGCTCAAGAAATGAATGTCCTTATATTGACCCCAATATGTATTTTCTTATTTTGATCCTCAGGTGCTGATGGCTTTTCTTAGGCTTGGGTTTGTGTCTGTTTATCTCTCTTCTCCTATGCTCGATGGCTTTGCCACCGGGGCATCTTGCACTATTCTCTCCGTTCAGGCTAAATACCTGCTTGGCCTTAAGATACCTCGACACCAAGGCTATGGCACCGTGGTGGTCACTTGGATCAACATCTTCAAGAACATCCACAAAACCAACTTCTGTGACTTAATAACAAGTGCCATTTGCATTATAGTACTGCTTGCAGGAAAAGAGATCCAGGATCGCTACAAAAAGATTTTAAAGATACCACTGCCTACAGAACTTGTGGTAGTAGCAGTTGCCACAATAGTTTCCCACTTTGCTGATCTAAACGGTCAGTTTAGTTCCAGTATCTCAGGTGCCATTCCAACTGGTTTCATTCCTCCAAAAATGCCAAGCATTGAACTTATGCCAAGGATAGCATGGGATGCCATTCCATTGGCGGTCATTAGTTTTGCGTTTACGGTTTCTCTATCAGAGATGTTTGCTAAAAAGCATGGCTACACAGTCCGACCCAATCAAGAAATGATAGCGATTGGGTTCTGCAACATAATCCCTTCATTTTTTCATTCGTTTACAACAAGTGCCGCTCTTGCAAAAACCATGGTGAAGGACTCTGCAGGCTGCCAGACTCAGGTCTCCAGCATAGTGAGTGCCTTGGTGGTTCTTTTGGTCCTCCTCTTCTTTGCACCATTTTTCTACGCCCTGCAGAAGTGTGTACTCGCCTGCATCATCATTGTTAGCCTAAGAGGTGCACTACGCAAATTTAGAGATGTCCCTAAGCAATGGCGTCAGAGCAAGATTGAGGCAATTGTCTGGCTGGTTACAATGAGCTCAACTGCTTTAATTAGCGTGGAGCTTGGGTTGGTAATCGGGGTGATTTTCTCAATGATCTGTGTTGTGGTCCAGACTCAGAATCCTAAGGTTTCGTTATTGGGGCAAATTGAGCAAACTAATGACTACGAGGACATGGAAGAGTATGATAATCTTTCGCCAGTTCCAAACGTGAAGATCTTTCGTTTCCAGGCACCTCTTTTTTATGCCAACAAAGACTTCTTTTTAAAATCGTTATACAAAGCAACCAAACTTGAGCCATTCCTTGAACTTACTCGCAGAAGAAAGCTGGAGAAAAAAGCCAGGGCTAAGGGTCAGAAGATGACTGATGGAGTAGATCAAACAAATGGAGATGTCGGCATTTGTTTGATTTCTAAAGATGTGGGTTTTCATACTATCATCTTGGATTGCTCCTGCATCTCTATGATAGACACGACAGCAGTGAGCACTTTCAAAACAGTTTCTAAAGACTACAAAGAAGTTGGTGTGAATGTAATTCTAGCTTGTTGCAACACCACAGTCATCGATTCGTTAAGAAAAGGCTCTTTCTTTGGAGCTGATGACATAGACATGGATAGACTGTTATTTCATACCATCCACAGTGCTGTTTGTTTTGCTAATAGTACGACACAACCGGTTAATGACTCATCTGTGTAATGTGTCCACTTTCAAGAGCTGAAAAGCATATTTTCTGTTTAAACATGACATTTCTGGAAAACAATCTCAACTTAAAAGAGTTTATGAGATCATGATTTAATAGCTTAAAAAGCCCACTTCATTTTGAGTCAAATTGATATCAAAATCAAACATTTTATACCACTGTATAAACTCAGAGGTTATTATTATTATTATTATTATGTTATTATCACACTGGAAAACAATACTGTTCATCTTCTTTGATTGACCAAGGATTACAAGAAAATCAAACAAAACTGTTTTATGATGTAACAGTGACAATCTAATCCCTTAATTTATTTGATATTTAATCAGTTGCATTTAAATTATTTGTAATTTATAAATGAATTGGTGCAAAATCTGCCACTAACTGCCAAAAAAAAATAGGGTCATGAGAATGCATTATAGATCTGTGACTGTACATTCCCTATACTGTCTTTTTTAAAATGTGAACATGTTTTTATGTTCTTCTTTGGGAAATAAAAGTTTCACTTGAAGATCTGATTTTATTATAAACCAGTGTCTAGACCTATTTTGTGTCCATTTCAGTGCACTTATTGCCTCATTGTTATATTTGCCACCGTCTTGAAACCAATAGGTTTTTTTGCTTTTGCATATTAGGTGACATCTTAAGCACTTTTCAGTCTTGACACTGAGTTTGAAAGGTAAATGAAACCGGGATAAATTTAGTTTTTTTTTTTTTTTAAATATATTACAGCTGGGTTAACTCGTGCGTGTCTTAAGCAAGGCACCATAACCGGAAGTTGAAACCAATAGGTTTGACTTTTTTGTCAGTAAAAAGTTTTTCATAATTTAAACTATTAAACATTTTATGTGACAATTGTTCTAACATATGTTTTGCTTTATAAATTTACTTGCATTTTAACCAGTGGTGGAAAGAGTACTGAAAAATTGTACTTAAGTAAAAGTACCATTACTAGCCTAAAAAGCACAGGCACACAACGTCATTAGATGTAATATTAGGTTAGATTTAGGTTGTGATGTCAAGTGATCAAAATTCAATGTCTAGTCTTAGGATTTACGTTGGGTTGGAAAGTGTCCAAAATCCAACGTAGAACCAACATCTTAAACCAACGTCACATTGACGTCAAATACTGACATGTATCCGTCAGGTATGGCAACATAAATCTAAAGTCTGATAGACGTCATAGTGGGAGCATCCACACAACGTCAAGCTATAACATCATTAGAGGTCGATATTTGGTTGATTTTAGGTTGGACGTTGGGGTTCTGAGATCAACCTGATTTTCATTTTCAAACAAAATGCAACATCAATCTGTGTCATCATGTTGACGTCTTGTGTGTGCTGGGTGTTTAAGTCCATTTCGGTCATCAGTAAACATCTGTCATTTCTCATCAGTGACTTTCATCTAACAGTCTCTGGGTTAATGCGTGTAAAGATTTTGGACATCTTCTTGGACACTTTTAATGCTTCCAAACAGCTTACTGCAATAATAAATTACTATGTCTTGATATTATGAGGCAATTTACCTTCTGTGTGCAATTTGATTGGTCAGGAATCACAAGACTACCCAATACTCAGACAAGAAAAATAAAGTAGTGACTGCAGTTTGAAGGAAAGTAGTGGAGTAAAAGTACTGATACAGCACTAAAAATGCACTCAAGGGAAAGTAAAAGTACACATTGTTTTACTTTACATCACTGATTTTAACACACATTGTATGTATAAACATATCTGATTATTTAATTTGGTTCTGATATCAAAGTGGGAAGTTTATTCTTTGAACAACAAACTTATTATGATGATTACATAGCAAAACAGTTTATTTTATTTTATTTTATTTTATTTAATTATAGGTTCAATAATGACTAGGTGGACTTGCTTATTGTAAATGAACAGTTGGTCAAGTGTTTGCCAAATGCACACATAGAAAGTTAACACTGCTGTTGACTGTAAGTTAACTTACCTTAGTTAGTTGAAGATACTCCACAGACGGGATATTGAGATGTTTCCACCTCCATGATTCATCATTATTGTCGTTTCTGTTACAACACACAAGTTAGGCTCGTTTATCTATTGTGTTAAGTGGCGCAAAGACTCACATGTTATCTAAAGGTTATTTCGACAATTTATCACACTAACTAACATCCTAAAAGTTGTGACGACAACAAAACAAACCCTCATTATCGCTTCTGATAAGGAAACTATTCCGCTCCGGAACGCACAGTGGCGCTCGACTCGTGGCGATATATGAGTGTCTTTTCATGTTGCGTTCAGTGAAGAAGAAAAGAAAACGTCAGCTGCAATTCAAATTTTACCGCTCGTCCTGTGCACAACGAGACGATAGTTGTTAATATTGATAGGTGATTTATTTTTAATATAATTACTGACGGTTGTCATACGGTCCAATGATGACTTGTCGAAAAAGGTAAGTGTGTTTTTATGTGGATTCCAAAACCACCAAAACAGCGCGAGATGAAATAATATGGTTGTCTCATTCTCTTGTCTAACGTTACGTTGTGACTGTTGACATTAAACATTTTTATATAATATAAAGATTTCAAAGCTTTAATAGTTCTATAAAACTAAACATGCTTTTGTTATTAAAAAGTTGTTTAAGTTACCTCTTTTGTTGGTTAACGTTAGGTGTTTTTAAACTGATTTTTGCAGTTTATAAAATGAATAAACAAAATAACATTGAACATTCAATTCTTCCATTTGTTTCATGCTCACCCTCATGAGCTATATGACGTTTTTCTGTTGAATATAAAAGCTAACGAATTCTATATACTTAGTTATTTAAAATACACTTTTAGGGCGGTTCGTTCATTCCGCAGTGGCGACTCTTATAAATATAGATAGAGGTTAAGTGGGTTTTATATTCACACATTCGTTAATTTAAAAGTTTCTGTATTATTTACGATGTGACTTTAAATAATATATATAGAGGTAAAGTTAGTTTTATATTCACACATTCAGACTTTTTCTTTAATATTATAATTTCAGGAAATTATTCTTTGCAAATTTGAAATGGGGAATCATATTAGCAGCCAATGACTATCAAAGTACAACATAGTCATTCCTGCATATGATTTCAGACCATATATTTAAAAAGTACCATGGTGAACATTTAGTTTAGTGAGCGTGTCACAAGTTGTCACTAAACGAATTTGTGAGTATAAAACCAAGTTGACCTCAATCTGATGAATAGGGGACTAGAAAGGATAATGAATGAATGAAGACATTTTAGGGGAGACTAATCAAGGCAACAAAAAGTAAATAATATAATTTTTTATTTATACAATTCGTGCACACACTTAGATGGGAGAGAATGAAAATGAATGATCTGTTAGTCATCTTGATCATTCAAAGTTGTTTTTGTATAAATATGTATGCAGCATACATAAAATAGTATAGGTACTTATGTAAAAAAAATGATTATACATTCCTATTTTGCTTTTATCTTAGTTATCATTACTTTTATATTTGCTTGTGTTTTTGGGAGCAGTGAAGCTTTGGCGTTCTCTCTTGTGACTGAGATCAATCATGCGATGGCCAGGCTTGTGGACATATGGGACAGCATCGGCATCATGGAGGACCAGAGAGTGGAGAGAATGCAAACTGTAAAAAAGCATATAGATGTAAGTTATGAATTTAATGTATTTGTTCCTTTCAGTTGTTTAGATGCAGAATTTATACTTACTCTAGAATAATAATCTATGTTCTTTAGGGCCTTTTACATTCCATGATCATGGAGGAAGAGGCTTTAAGACATCGAATCAAAACAGATATCATCACCTTCCAGAAGCAACTGGACACGCTGTGCCTTGAACTGACTCTTGAACCGTTCAAAGTAAGACACTTTCCAGAATAAAAAAATGGTGTCTTAGTATCATATATAAATATTGCATATAGTTTTCTTAAAGCAATTTTTAAAGTTAATCTTATAAAAGATAAATGTAATGATTTTTAACCTTTCAAATTAATGCATTTAGTGCAGTAAAATTAATGGGGTTTTATTACATTAAATTCAAAATAATTAATTGTAGCTTTTCTGAAAAAACTCAAAGATTAAGAAAGAACAATTCTTTTGTTTGTTAAGATTAAGTTATTATAGATTATGGTATTTTTTAGGGTAAAAATTATTGTTGTTAAAGTAAATTATTATTACATTGAGATGTACATTTTATCTGAACAATAGAAATTTAGTTAAATGTTTTCAGTAAATTATGTTTTGATGATAGTTCTTGTCAAATAATCAGACACTGGAAAACGTAACCCTTCGCTGCTCTTCATGTTTAAATTTTGTTTTTGACATCTAAAATTCAGACTGGTCATAATTCGCTTGGGGCTTACTATCACAGACTTTTAGTATATGTATCCAAAATTTGCCAATTTCTATGACATTCTGCATTAAGCTAATTCCATTTTGTATTTTGCTTGTGTTTTTGCATCATATAAATCATAGAGCCCTGTATTTGTAAAGCTGCGTATTGTCTCTTTGTTATCATTTATAGTTGGAGGAAAAACTTACAGTTCTCCAGATGGAGAAGAACCTGCGCTGCCACGTTGAGTCTCTTCAGAAAGAGAAAAATGAACGTTTGAGAGAGATGAACGATTTTAAGAAGCAGGACGAAGAGCTGTGTGTGACTCTGTGTGCCGATCCATATTATATCCCTACAGGAAGTGTGCCCTCTCGAACACAGTTGCAGGAACTCAAGGAACACGTCGAGAGACTCAACAAGGAAAAAGTATTTTGCTGTTGTTTTTTTTTTTATTTTTTAATGATGCTCATACCTTTTTGTTCTGGATGGATGCCTTTGTGACTTAATCAGTTTGCCTGTGTTTGTAGGAGAGCAGGGTGAAAGTGTTTTCTGGGCTCCGGGAGGACATCAGGAATTTGATGGAAGAGTTGGGACATGAACCAGAGAGCAGTCTGGAGCGGGAGTCTATCTGCCCCGATGCTGACATTTTTCTGCTCACGCATGACAATATCAAAGCCTTGAAACTGCTGCTCAGCCAGGTGCTACACTTTCATCATTTCATTTAAAGTGTCTCTACTCTCTATCAACTTTAAAGGATTTTATTTTTGTTTTGGAGATCATCTACAATTGGTTTAAATCCATCCATTTGCTCAGAATATACACTGCAGCGTCAGATATTTTCTCACAGTGTTTGAAATGGTTTGATTAAAGATTTGGTCTCTCTAAAGCTTATTTCTGAGAGCATACTGCTCTGATTGGGCAGATGATCCAGTCTTTCTGATTTAATCTACTGCTTGCAGCTTGTCAGAAATTAAATGTTCATTACTATATCTGAACTGCAGCTCTTCCTCAACACTTGTAAACAAAGTCTTATGAACTGTAGCAGTGCTGTCAATTCCATTGAGTCAATTTAAGTCCTCGTCCTCTGGAAGTGGATGCACAGTGGATTTGCTTTTGCAATAACCAGTGTCTAGTTGACATGAGTGAGGTTCAAAGTTGACATCGTTCATGAGCAGAAAATGAGAATCACAGGCACATTTGTGACAAACATATAAAAGTTTGTGCTGGAAGTAAAACTGAATTACAGGCTGTTTCCGGCCATTACAGTAACTCATTTATTTCGCATTTCAATCTTTGCAGCTTTTACATTCACAAACTGCTAAATTGCACATTACATGAGAAGAATAACAGGCCACTGTAGAAGTATTGAGGTTGTGAAAACACAGCTGTTATATCTGATTTAGCAAATGCCGCAAATTAAAAGTCGTATTTTTTGTTAAGTTTTTGTATTTTTTATTATTTATTTGAAATTTAATTTATTCCAGTTTTTTGGTAGGCCTATACAGTCAGATAACGCCATCTAGAGGCTGTTTATGGAACATGCTTTGGGATCCATAATGAAAGGGATAGTTTACACAAAACTGACAATTCTGTCATCATTTTCTCACCCCTAACTTGTTCCAAACCTTTACACAAAAGGAAATATTTTAAAGACAACTGGAAACCTGTAACTATTGACATACATAGTATGGAAAACATGTACCATGGAACTTAATGGTTACAGGTTTTCAGACTTTTTCAAAATATATTTTCTAGTCAACAGAATAAAAACTCATAAATGTTTGAAACCTTGTGAGTAAACAGTAAATTTTAATTTCAACACGTCACCATGTTTCTCAGAAAACATATTTCTTAAGGTGCTGTAGACCAGATGTTGAAAACAAGCACAGAAATACATGTATAAAAAGAAAACAAATCTAATTAGTTTACAAATTAAGCTGTGTAATAGAATGAAATGAAAAGTATAGAACACATGAAGAAAGGAAAGTGTAAAAAGGCTATGAAAGCCCAGACAGCAGCTTAAAATCTTTTAGTAGTTTTTCAGCAACCCTCTGCCCTTTGTCAGTGCAAATGAATATTAATTGCTTTAGTTTTATCTTCATCATCCTGATAATGTAAATGTTGAACTGGAGTGGACATTTTTATCGAACACAAAATAAAATATTTTGAAGAAAGCTGATAAAAACTGTAACAATTGTCATCCATAGTAGGAAAAACATTTACTATGGAAATCAGTGGTTACAGGTTTTCAGCTTTCGTCAAATATATTTTCAGTTGAGCAGAAGAAAGAAACACATAAAGGTTTGGAAACTTGTGAGTAAACAGTACAGAAATTTTTTTGAGTGAACTATCCTTTTAACACTTTTCCGAGCATTAAAAATAATCATTGGCATAAAAGTAATACTTGCTAGCTTGTTAATAACTATTAGTATAATAAGCGTACATTCATTTTAATTAATAATTTTTTTACATTTTAAAATATTTCTAATGAAGTACAAAAGTACTGCGTTTTATGATTAATAATGATTTATTTCTTACAGCTTGAAATAAAAAAGGAGTCCTTAATTTCGGCACGAGACAGTCTCAAGGAACGAGCCATGAGCCTGTGGAATCGTCTGAGCTGTCCCGAGTCGGAGGCCGAGGTGTTCCAGGAGCCAGCTATGAGCACTCTATCTGATGATATCAGACGGGTGAGAGCTTTCCCATTAACCCACAGGATGTCATATCAGGCTATAGAAGTCTCTCACAGATCTTAACATTCATGTGGTTAACCAGCTAATAGAGAGCATTTCCTCTTGCAGTGGCAGAGGTTTGTGGAGCATCTGGAGGAGCTGCAGAAGGCTCAGCTAGAGGAGGTGATCA